ATAAGCGGGGGTGGCGGTGAGGGAGCGAGAGGCAGGCAGCGTTCCCTGCCAACCCCCTCCTCCCGCCCGCCTTAAACAGCTGCCTGCTTCTCGCCCCCTCTCCGCCGCCACCGCTTGCAAGCCAGCTGCATGGGGTTTCCACCCCCTCCCAGGAACATGGCGGAGGGTTCACCCCTCTCCATGCTGTTCCCCACCGACCCCCCCACGCAGTGCGGATCCCGGCAGACCCGTCACAGCACCCTGCTGGAGTACCTCCCAATACTCCGGCATATACGATAATCCGGCACCCCCTGGGCGGCAGTGGAGAGGGGGTGAGATTTGTACTGTACGTACAACTGCTGCTCATCTGAGGGAAAGGATAAGAACACAAGAACGGCCATACTGGGTCAGACGAAAGGTCCATCCAGCTCAGCATCCTGTCTCCCAACAGTGGCCAATGCCCTAGATGAAATTAACAGAACAGCGATCCCTCCCCTGTCATCCATTTCCAGCCTCTGCCACACAGAAGCCAGGGACACCAATCCTATCCATCCTGGTCAATAAGTATTGATGGACCTAATCTCCATGAACTAATTAGTTCTTTTTTGAATCCTGTTAGGGTATGTCTACACAGAAGGGCTAAAGCCGAAATAAGCTATGCAACTTGAGCTTCATCAATTGCATAGCTTAAGTTAAAATAGCTTATTTTAGCTTTTGGCGCTGTGTACAAAGCAGGAAGGCTGAGAAAGAGCACTCTTCCTCTGACTTCCCTTACTCCTCGTAAAAAGAGGGTTACCAAAGTTGAAGAAAGAAGCTCGACATTCTTTTGGTATTATGTCAAAATAACTGCTTCTAGTGTAGATGCAGACTATGTTATTTCAAAATAACATCAGTTATTTTGAAATAACACTGCTGAGTAGATGTACCCTTAAAGTCCTGGTCTTCACAACATCCTCTGGCAAGGAGTTTCACAGGTTCAGTGTGTGCTGGGTGAAGAAAAACTTCCTTTTGTTTGTTTCAAACTTGCTACATATTAATTTTGTTTGGTGATGCCTAGTTCTTATGTTATTTACGTGTTCCCATAACTTTTCCTTATTTACTCTCTCAGTACCTGTCATGATTTTATAGACCTCTATCATATCCCACTCTTAGTTTCCTCTTTTCTAAAATGAAAAGTTCCAGTCTTTTTAATCTCTCTTCAGATGGCACCCATTCCAAACCCCTGATCCTTTTTTGGCCTTTGTGAACCTTTTCCAATGCCATTATATCTTTTTTGATATGCTTAACCATTTGGAACTCAAGAAGAGTGTAAATATACTAACAAAGGAATTATTTAAGGTGGAACCAAAGGGCTCAAACAAGGAATAATTGGATGAAATGGAGAGGACTGAATATCAGCATTAAAGGTCAGGGATATATACTACCCTCATTATTGTGATGGGAGCGGAATTTTAACAATAATTGAGAATAGATCCTCACCAGCTTGTTCCCTCCCCCCTCATGCATTTTGGGCACAGATTTTATCTGGACTTGTTCTGTGACTGAAGAGTCAGAGAAAGGACTACAATACAAGACATGCAGTAGTGTACTTTTTTAAACTCTGTGAAAAAGAAGTGCAGCTGCTGCTGCCACTGCCAATCCTGATGACTATCAGCCACTACATAAATACATTTGCTGTATGCTTTTGTAAAAAAGATCAGTGAGATAATTAATGCTGACCTTTGGCAGTCATTCTTTCAGAGTTAACAACCCAGTGAGACAAAGAGGATGTTCATACCACTGAGACCCAATATTTCAGGTTTTTCCCCAAGACTAGAAAGAGATGTAACTGCATCAAAGTTACATTTGGAAGGTTGTTTTCACAACTGTAGGGTCTAGGGGGAAAAAATTAGTATTTTAAAATAAAATCCCATATCAACCACACATACTGGTTCAAGTAAGAGCTTCGTACCACAATTTAGATTATTCAGGAAGCAAAATTGATCCATGTGCTCCCAAACAGCCAGGTATACAGGACTGTAGCCACCTATGTAGTAAATATTTATATTTAGTACTATCCTAAGGTTTTAATCCCTATTGGAACTAAACTGTGCTAGTTGCTGTATAAACATACACAGGCATAAAAATTCAATTCCTACCCTTTCAATAGAAACAGCAGTCCCTGTTTACATAGCAATAGAGCTAATTGAAAAATTACTTTATGAAAACTCTCTAAAAAATGCATCTTGTATTGTTTAAATTAATCAAGACAAACTATTTTGACCACCTCTATGGAGCACCTTTTGTTCTGAAAGATGATATAAAACTATGAAACTGAGAAATTACATCACCTGTGAAATTCAGCCATCTCAAGGGAAGAAGCCAACATACTTGCAAACAATTTGAGTAATGAGGGAAGGAGATAAGGGATTGTCACTGTAGGACACTAGTCTAAACTTCTACCCTTATACAATTGCCCTTGGGGTTTTACACTATTAGTGTTGGGGGTGGAAAGAGAAGGAACAACCAAAAACATTGAGAACTCACCAATGAAACACAACACACTGTGAGAAACTCTATTTTTGACCCTTTCAGCCCTCTGTATCTGACAGACCAAGTCTGAATTGAAGTCTCATGGACACCATCCCACCCTCAAGGCCCCACATATTACAGGAAGCCCTAGACACTGAGCCACACAGCCTGATGCGCCTTCCTGGACACTCACCTGACTCATACACACAAACAGACACACTTGGGCTGGGGGCAACAACACCTTCCTTGGGTGAGGCTCACTTCCTGTGAGTGTATGTGGCCCCACATTCCTGTGTAGGGCCACCTCCTTAGCCTTCCTTTACATTTCCCAGGGTCCCATCAATGCAGGGCCCCACTTACCCCACAGCCCCTCTCCTCATTCCAGGACCCCCATCACTCCATCCTCACCCTCCTCTGCAGTCAGGGCACTTCCCCTCATTTGCCCCCCAAACACCCTCCCCTCTGCAGTCGGGGAGGACCTGACTCACTTCCTGTGTCTGTGTGGGGCCCCACATCCCCCATATTCCTTTGTAGGGCCACCTCCTTAGCCTTCCTTTACATTTCCCAGGGTCCCATCAATGCAGGGCCCCACTTACCCCACAGCCCCTCTCCTCATTCCAGGACCCCCATCACTCCATCCTCACCCTCCTCTGCAGTCAGGGCACTTCCCCTCATTTGCCCCCCAAACACCCTCCCCTCTGCAGTCGGGGAGGACCTGACTCACTTCCTGTGTCTGTGTGGGGCCCCACATCCCCCATATTCCTTTGTAGGGCCACCTCCTTAGCCTTCCTTTACATTTCCCAGGGTCCCATCAATGCAGGGCCCCACTTACCCCACAGCCCCTCTCCTCATTCCAGGACCCCCATCACTCCATCCTCACCCTCCTCTGCAGTCAGGGCACTTCCCCTCATTTGCCCCCCAAACACCCTCCCCTCTGCAGTCGGGGAGGACCTGACTCACTTCCTGTGTCTGTGTGGGGCCCCACATCCCCCATATTCCTTTGTAGGGCCACCTCCTTAGCCTTCCTTTACATTTCCCAGGGTCCCATCAATGCAGGGCCCCACTTACCCCACAGCCCCTCTCCTCATTCCAGGACCCCCATCACTCCATCCTCACCCTCCTCTGCAGTCAGGGCACTTCCCCTCATTTGCCCCCCAAACACCCTCCCCTCTGCAGTCGGGGAGGACCTGACTCACTTCCTGTGTCTGTGTGGGGCCCCACATCCCCCATATTCCTTTGTAGGGCCACCTCCTTAGCCTTCCTTTACATTTCCCAGGGTCCCATCAATGCAGGGGGGATAGGAGAGCGGGGAAAGGGTGGCAGGGGTAGCGCTGATGGGTAGGAATGAAGGAAGGAGAAAGGGGATGGGGGAGGAAGAAGGCAAGGGGCACAGTGCCAAATAGGAAGCAGTTTTGTGTCAACTGTAACATGAATCATAACACAAAGCAAAAATATATTGGTAATCACAAGCCAGGGAAATACCTCACGTCTCCCCCCGCAGCCATTCCCATGCATTAAACGTTCAGTAACTCCCCAGGCAGGGCACCAAATCCCCTTCCTCTCCCTCTATATTTCTCTGAAGAGCTCTGTCTTCTTCCACAGTGGCGATCTAAATGGGGGAGATTTAAAAACAAGCGATTCTGTTTTAAGATGGGCCAGGGATGTTGGTCCAAAAATAAAGGCTGGAACCATCTTCCAAATTAATTAAGACCTGGCAGGTCTGTTTCCGTGGGTGGTGTGATTGTTACACGTTTCGTGACGTATTATTTACCTCGGACCAGAGCTTCAAGACCTTTGCGTGGCTTCTTCCCATTCCAGGAATATTTCACAACTAATTCACTGACGCATGCAACCTTATATTCAAACAACTTTGCAGCAGAGTGCTCTATGGGGAGAGAGGAACATTCCTGTGGCATCCCCTTTGAAGTCACCCTGATTAAAAGATTCTGCTCACTTGAAAACAGCACGAGCTGTTAGTATTTCCCCCTTTCATTATCTATTTATTTGACTGCTGCTACAAAGATTTTACAGTTTAATCTTTTCAGCTGTCCACTCTACTCACTTCTGTATAGGAAGATGTTTGGAGTTTACTGAGAAAACAAGAATGACTCTGGTTTACTAAACTGGGATAAATTTCGCAGTGCAACCTTTTTATTGTTCTATGGATGCTAAAAGTATATAGTCAAGTCAGTCAGTTAATCAAAAACATTCATGGTCACTTGCTTTTAGTTTAGTTTAGCTACTTTATGTCCCCTATAAAAAGTCAGCTCCAGCTTTTGAATATCTTATAGTTCTCTACAATATGTCACAGCAGTTTTATTTTCCCATGGAGAACTCAGACAATATACTACATCTTATTTTTATATACTGATTTTTATATAGCATCTTCAGTTCACAGCATCATATAACCACACAGAGTCAACTGTAAATTAAAGCATAAAGGAAGGTTTTAAAATGAGATTTAAAGAGGATGAATGACTCAATAGCTTGAAGGCAGGTAGGAGAGGTGAGAATTTCAGATAAATAAAACAGCACAAGCAAAAGAGCAACCTCAGCTGAGGAAAGTTGAGGGGAAAGGTCAAGACTGGAGGTAACGAAAGAAAATAGGTGGATGATACATTAGAAAAAATAAGGTAAAGTGATTCCACAGAGACTTTTTAAGGGGGGAACAACAATTTTGAAATAGACTGAGAAATGGAGAAGTCAGGGAAGGTGAAATGGATAGGATATGTTCCCAGTTTTCAAAGGGAAATTTTAGCCACATTGTTGTATTTTAGAATCTCTCAGTTTGGATAATAGGAATTTGGGAACATCATAAAGAGAGGATTGCAACAGGACATAGATCAAGATTTCACAAGAGATAAAATCAAAAGTACAGATGATTCAATAATAGACTTAAAGACAGGAGATTCAGAAAGGGGGAGAGGTTCAGCATGACTTCTGAATGATGACTTCTAGGTTTCGGGCCATGGTATCTGAAACCACGTCTATCTACAATAGAAAGTTTTATTGGTAAAATGTCTGCTGGCAAGTGTCTGCCAAAATCGCTGTAGAGTATATTCATATTTGATAGCCTTTGCTAGCGCAGTGCTACCTAACAGTGCCAGATTGTACTGGCAAAAGATATTGTGGGTTGGCATTACACCACTGTCTGGCATACTTTGTGGGAAATTGTTGTGGTGTATAGTGAGATTCCAGCACACTTCTTAGGGAATCGGGCCAGTTTGGGATCAAGTTCCCATCATATCTTCTGTTCTGTCCCATAATCTTCTCTTTTTCATACCATTTTTAAAATTCCCATGTTTCTCTTTGGGCCATCCAATAATCTATTCTCCTTCGTGCATGTTTTCAATCTCTTCATCATCTCACCATCAGAAATATGGATGCTGAACACATCAGTGGAATGCTTGTGTCTATTGCAGAAACCGGATAACTGATTCTTCTATATTTGCAAAACCAGCAGCATTGCTGGCCATGCAGCAGGAAAATGAGAATACTGAAGAGGAGGAGGAGGAGGAGGAGGAGGAGATCTGTCAGGCAGGAAGTGAATGAACCTGGACAGCTGCTGTAGGCATTCATTGAAACCTGAAAGGATGCAGAGTTTCCAGGTGTGGAAGATTGCTCAAGCATTCAGTGTGAACACATGAAAATGAGAACTGTTTTGACAGTGGAGAAATGCATGAGTTAAAGGAAGTGATACTCAGTGGAGCCAGAAACTTGAGACTCGTGGACTTTCCTTCTTGAATCATTCAAAATTAGGAAATTATAATGTAACTAGAAGCTGAGAGAGCCACAGGAAGTGACATAGAAAATAGGGAGATAACTGAAGATGTTAAGTGTGTCATCTTCATAGACAGTTTCTGCATTTGAAACTAGCAGTGAATTATCCTCAAGGGAGAAGTTACACAGAGAAGAGATCCAAGGAGAGTGTCTCATATTAACGGAGGCGATAGGTGTAAAAATCTTGGTCCACTACAAATGGGAAAGGTGTGATTAAGGAGAGAAGACCCAAAGCAAGAGAGGAAACCTCTGTTTTCTCCCTGGAGAAACTAAGGAAGGATAGTGTCATACTGCCCTGAAATCAAGTAGGATGAGGAAAGGGAGGGATCTGTGAGGTCTCTACTCTCAAAACTAAGAAAGGATCAGAAATCAGCCAATTAGGATACAAAAGTTCAAAGGCTTGACTGCAAAAAATGGTGGAAATCTATTTCCTCTAAAACATTGCTGAGGAGGAGCAAAAGTCTGAAGATGAAATGGTAAATTTCAAGTAAGTAGTTTGGGATGGGATAATTATTTTTCTTAATAGTGAAGTAAAAGTAGCAAGTTTGATTTTCAAAACGAAGAGTATAGAATACTCCTGCACGTGCTCTGTGGAGAAAGCAAGAGTGAGAGATGTGTTGAGGACGCACACAGTAAGGAGTTGCAGTCTAGAACAAGCAATAAGGGAACTAACACCATAAGGGTGCATCTACACTGCACCGTAACTTGAAATAAAATATGCAATTTGAACTATGTAAATAGCTTATCTTATTTAGATGCTTTTTCAAAATAATTTGTTTTGTCATTTGGCGCTGTCTACACAGTACTAAATTTTGACATAAGGTGCTATTCCAAAATGTCCCTTTCTCCTCGTAGAATGAGGTTTATAGGGACATCAGAATAGCGAGCCCGAAATAATGGGCTTGATGGGAAGATGTGGAATAGCTATTTCGGGATACTCTGATATCCTGAAATAGCAGTGCAGTGTAGACGTACCCTAAGTACATTAGGACAAAGGGTCATGATCCTGTGAGGCATTATGCACTGGCTGCTGGGTGATGGGTGCCCTGGTCTCTCATTAATTTCAATGGAAATGAAAAGCTCAGGACTGTGCAGGAGTTTAGAACCTAGCAAGGATTTGGCACCAATGAGCCAACTGTTCCTTGTTTCCAGATTTGAGCTGGTTACAAAAACAGTAGCCCATTGGCATGGTTAAAACATGCATTGCTCTTGCAGTGTGAACATGTATTGTCTGAAATCCCAAGCTCTGCACAGCTTTACACTTTCGAAGAGTTGTAGCACTATTTGGGAACACAGTTGAAATACAGTGCTATAGCATCTGCCCTGCAAGACACAACTGTATTTCAGCATTATCAGAAGACAATTTTATTGTAACCTTCCTGAACATGGGAAGAGTTAATATGTAAATGAGTCTTTACACTGCACATTTTGCTTGATTTTGCAACCAGGTGGTCCTGCAATTGATTCTCCCCCTTGTTTGTGTCTACTCACAAAATATTAATCCACGGTTTCTAACTGTGTGGGTGCACTGTATTACCTGGTCTGTAATACAATTAGGCTGCAACTGGGTTCTGGCTGGTTTCTGATCCTTTCTCATTTTTGAGAGTTGAGGCCTCACAGATCTCTTTCTTTTCTCATCTTACTTGATTTTAGGGCAGTATGACGCTATCCTTCTTTAGTTCTTCCAGTGAGAAAACAGAGGTTTCCTCTCTTGCTTTGGGTCTTCCCTCTTTAATCACACCTTTCCCATTTGTAGCTGGGTTAACCAGTTATTTTATTTTCCAGTTCTCTAGACATACCCTATGTGTGCACATACCATCGTTTAGTCTGGTATATTTTTGTGTTGATTTTGTTGACCAATCCATGCTTGCACGCTGTGTTATTGCATCATTGGAAAGTTTATGCAGGTATCCTATTATGCCTTAGCTACTATTTTCAGAGGGACAGGATTTTAGATATTAATGACATAGTGCAATCAATTTTGGAATAGCTTCCCATTTACTGGAGCAGTCGACAAAGGCTTCCCTTGTCGACCACAGCGCGTCCAGACTACCTTGCTGTGCCGCCAAACAGCTGATTGGCTAAGCGCGGCGGCCATTTTGATGTAAATGAAGCAGCGATTATTTAAATCACTGCTTCATTTTCTTATGTCTAGTAAACTCATCTACATGGCTCCATCGATGGAGCCATGTAGTCTAGACATACCCATAGGGTCATCTACACTGCAATGCTATTTCGGGATACCGGAGTATCCCAAAATAGCTATCCTGCGTCTTCACAGCAAGCCAGTTATTTTGGGCTTGCTATTCCAATGTTCCTGTAAACCTCATTCTACAAGGAGTAAGGAACGTTTCAGAATAGCACTTTATTTTGAAATTTGGCGCAATAGCACCAAATGAAGAAATAAGCTATTTTGAAATAGCATTGAAATAAGTTATGCAACTTGTGTAGCTCAAATTGTGTATTTTATTTCGAGTTACTATGCAGTGTAGAAACAGCCTATAGAATCATGTGGGATGAGCACACTGGAGCCTTCTTACTTAAACATGGCTTTTTTCTATCGTGTAGATGAAGTTTTAGTAGATTTCTTTCCCTCATCTTCTGATGTAATTCTTTTTCTGGGCCTCATCAGCTGGTAGCTTTCTGTCTAGATTCCCTGAATCACTGCTGTATGAATTTCTTGTCATGCTCTTCTGTCCTTGTCATTCACTCATTCCTACTGAGTGATCTTTCTGTTTTGCTTTTCTGTTACACTAATTTGCAGTCCCAGCCTGTTACCTGCAATCACCTTCCTAGTTTGTGTCTTTCATTCTTGCCCTTTTCTTCTCTCAAAACAGTTTTAATTTCAAAACTATTATTAGCCAGAAAGTGAGACTTTTGAGTCCCGCCCCCCAAATGAGAGCTTGTTTCTTTACTTAGCTTATGTCACTTATAGACACTCTGCTTATTACTAAATCTAGTAAGCATAAAGTGGTCTTTGGACCTGCCTCATGTAGCCAAACAATGCCACCATCAAATGGAGTAATCTTCTACCATACATAACATTTTGTATTCCTGTGTTTCTCAAACTTTTTTGCCACAAAGGACCAATTTGTTACATTTCAGGAACCAGTGACAGTCACTGAGAAACACTGATCTATTCAATACTGCCTTAAGAATGTGAAGTCATTTCATTGTCTATTCAGTGCTTGCCATTTCTATTTGCTGTATATAACAGGTTGGACAGGCTCTGAGATTGCAGCTCATCAGGACACAAGAGCAATAGGGACAGTTGGGTTTGCAGTTTGGTACACGTTGGGGTAGTTATCATTACACATAATTTCATTTTATTTTCAATTGGCAGGACTTTTGCCTCCAGTTTGTTAACAAAAAGATGCAACCCACTAAGAGAAGGCCTTGGTAGAAGTTCAAACCACAAGAGAAGCAACATCATTTTCACCAATGTATCTGCAAGTTGACAATATCTTGGCAAAATAAGACAATTGGTGAAAAGTACAGGCGTATTTATAGTTTAGCAACCAAAATAATTGGTAATCTGCTTGACCTATATTATCAACATTTGTTTATCTTCGGACATATTTTAAGGCTCCTATATCATGGTATCTCAACATAACATATTCTTACACTCTTGCCTTAAGGGCCATGGGCTCATATAACCATTTATACACAGTTTTATGAAAGGAGATTCCTCTAATTTCCACCCAAAAAATCTCGTTAAATTATCTCCTAACATGGGACTTTTCTGTCTGGAACCCATCAGTTTGTTTCTGCTACAGAATCTATTCCATTACTAAAGTAGGGCTAGAATTGTCTTCTAAAACATTAAAGCATATTCATTTAGGGATTGATCCAGCACCCATTGAAGTAAACGGAAAGACTCCCATTGACTAGGGATGTTAAATTTGAATTAATCAGCTAATCAAGTAGTCGATGGATTTTGACTACTCGATTAGTCGATAAGGGGGCATTCACTATCTTGCTGTGCCTCTGCCTTTGAAATGTACAAGAGCCACCCGCAGCTCTGGTACATTTCAATGGAAGAGGCGCAGTGGGAAACCCGTGCAAGTGGGGACCAAAGCAGTCCCCTCTCGCACTGGGTCCTGACTGCTGTGACTCTCCCTTTGAACTGTACAAGAGCCATGAGCCAGCTCTTCTGCCATGAGCAGCTCTTGTACTTTTCAAAGGGTGAGGTGCAGCAGTTGGGACCCCGCGCAAGGGTGGACTGCTTTGGTTCCCACTTGCACCATTTCCCCTGCTGCATCTCTGCCTCCACTGTCCCCTCTCCCCCATCCCCCCGCCCACAGAGATGGTGCTGGGGAGAACTGGCTTTTAAGCCTGATACAGCGACTAGTTGAGAAGTGACTCTACTACCTGATAAGCTTTGGCTTATCAGGTAGTCGACTAGTCACTTACAGCCCTTCCATTGACTTCAGTGGGCTTTGGATCAGGCCTATAATTAGTTAGGGCAAGATAATACATATCTATATATAGAGTGCGTCTGTTTGTGTAATCAGCCCTATAATTTATTTATATATATATATATATAGAGAGAGAGAGAGACAGACAGAGAGAGAGAGTAAGATAATACATATATATAGAGAGAGTGCGTCTATCTGCGTGTCTGTTTGCAAGTCCATTTGTTCAAGAACTCCTCCTAAGCTAGGGCCACCAAATTTGGTATGCAGCTTCCTCTTACCCTAACTTAAAGCAAGGTCAGGGTTTAGTTATGCAAGATAACCAAAAGCCCCATGAAAAGAACAGTTTTCCATAACATGCAAAGGGAGGGGCAGCTGTTCAGAGGGACTCGATAGGAGAGTGGCCACTGGGGACAGCTGTATCACCAAGGGAGTGGCCAGCAGTGCTAGAGCTTCTCCATCTTGCCTGCCAACACACCAGTAAGTCCCCTGTCCCAAATCCTTTTCCCCTTCCCACTGCTTTTGCTTGCAGTGCTGAAGGGGATAAAGAGAACAGTACCCTGGTGGCTGGTAGGGTAGCTGGGAAGGAGGGGGTAAGAACAGGCCCCAGACAAGCTGTGGAGTGTCTGGGGGAAGGGAAAAACAGGCCTTGGGGGAGGGAGTAGCCAGCGGGGAGGAGAACAGGTCTTGGATGGGCCGGGGAGGGGGAAGAACAGGCCCTGAGCAAGCTGGGGGGTGGCTCATGAGGAAGAAAAATGGTCTCCAGGCAGGCAGGGGACCCCCAGCTTCCTGAATCCTCCTCCACATCCCCAAGTCCCTGTCCCAAAAGACCCAGGCAATGCCAGGTAAGTCTGCCAGTGCATTATTTGGCTTCCAGTTCTTTTAATCTAATTTTCTTAGGCTTTGATCCTGCATCATGATAGCCAGTGGAAGTTTTGAAGTTGACTTCAGTGGGAATAGATTTGGGCCCTCAATGTCCAATATACATACAAACAGGCTATTCACCCCCAAGAGAAATAAGTACAAGACTTTCCCATGCAATAAAGTTAAAAAAATATTTCATTTTGATTCTAAATTCATTTTTTTCATGTACCAAGTACTAAGTGTCTACTTGTCTGCTGTGCTGTTCTCTATCTTCAGGAATTAGAATCTTGTCTGCCCCATAATTACAAGAGATATGGCTCATGAGTTCCAGACTGTATGAATTGTTCTGAAGATTCCCCACCTCCTTCCAGGGTCCACAGGAGCATGTACAGTCAGGGAACAGAGTTGAGGGGTCAGGATTTGGAGCTGCAGGGCCTCCTCCCAGTTAGCTTTGTCCTTTGGTGGATCCTGAAGGATCTGCCAGGTTTGGAGGCAGCTTTTCCACAAGCGCCAGAGAGGAATACCTCATCCTGGAATAGGGCCATTCAGGAGACTATCTGTGAGGAATTCCGTACTGAGTTTTCGTCACAAAAATTCTTTTCCCATAACTTTGAACATAGGAGGGGACAATCTGTGCCAGAGAGTCGAAGGATTAAATTCAGGCACTGAACTATCCTCTCATAAGGGGCCTGATCCAATTACCACTGAAATCAATTGGAGGATTCCCAGGATACATCTATACTGCGAAGCTATTTCGGGATACACAAAGTATCCTGAAATAGCTATTCCGCGTCTATTGAAACAGTCCATTATTTCAAAATAGATTTTGAAATAATGGGCGGCTTATTCCGACGTCCCGGTAGCCCTCATTCCATGAGGGTTAAGGGGCATTTCAGAATAGCGAGTTATTTTGAAATTTGGCGCTGTGCAGACAGCATCAAATTACGATATAAGCTATTTTGAAATACACTCAAAATAAGCGATGCAATTTGCGGAGCTCATTTTGGGCTAAGGGTGCTGTGTAGATGCACCCTTACTGACTACAGTGAAGCGGATTCAAATTCTATATCAGGGTGAGCAAGATAGGGCCCGCAAGCTATATCCAGCCCGCCAAGACTTTTGATCCATCCTGTGGCCCCCCCTGCCGCTCCCTGGCCCCCAGGCCAATCAAGACCTTGGGGCAGGGAAGTGCGCTGAGTCATTCGCTGTTCAATGTGGCTGGAGGCTCCCTCCCCCCGCTGGGGGCGCGCGATGCCTACCAGGAGCCACATGCCATTTTGTACAGCAAATGACTTCGGGCACTCCCCTTCTGGCCTGGGGGTGGGGTAGTGCACGAAGTCTTGTCCCCTATCCGGGGGTGCACAGGGCCTAGAGGGAACCACCAGCTGTTCAAAACGGCTGGTGGTTCCTTCTAGGTGCCACATGCCCTTGGCAGAGTGCAGGGTGGGAGGCAAGAGACTTTGCACACTCTCCCACCCCCAGACCTGAATTGTCCTGGGGAGGGGGAGCACACAAAGTCTCCTCCCTCTCCCAGAGGCACAGGGCACTTTAAGGGAATTACGTTAATAGGGCTATGTAGGGCGCTTGTACTGTTGCTGCCTACGTCATCATTCCTGTTCTGTGCATGGAAGATTTCAGTCTTGGGGACTGTCAAATTGATATCTATCATGAGTACCAAATGCACTTGAAACATGTTAGGGAAAGGTTCTGTGTGGGCAATGTTGGTGCCTACCCACTTAGGTAGATACTTATCTGGCCCTTATCATGGTAATATGTGAACATCTCACAGTCTCTAATATATGTATCCTCAGTCAACCCTGTGAGCCAGGGCACTGCAATTATGCCCATTTTACATATGGAGAAACAGAGCACAGAGACTATGTGTCTTGCCCAAGGGCACACAGGAACTCTGTGTCCCTCATTTGTTCTGTGACTGCCCATTTAACCTTGATGTTTCAGAAATGCTATTTGTCAATGACAAAAGAGTCTGCTGTAACCACAGAGGGAATATCTTGTGTCAAAATCTCCAGCTTCATGATAAAACTGGGTCATTAGGCTGGCAAAAATGTCCCCCTGGTTGCTCACGAAGTAAAATATTTGTTCTTCAAAAATCTCCAGGCTCTTATCTACTTTTTGTGAATTACACTGCCTAAATCATTCCCATAAGAAAATATTAAGGCTTGAAATGACTTGATATGTACAACAATTAATGCAGTTTTACAGTAATCTAGATCTGATCAGTTTCCATAAGTGATCCAATTAATCTTAACTCTATACAATTTATCAGGGTTTTTTATTGTTGGTGGGGTAAGGGATAGTTAAAATGAGTTACTAGAGAAAAACAGCAGAACAGATCAGATCTATGGGTCCATGGATATTTATAATGTTTTTGAAGATCTTCTGCGTGCTCGTTAGCAAGTTTGGAGACAATGCTTTTAATATAGCATGATGATGATGTATTTTTTCCCATCTATTTTGCCATATCTCTTCTGTTTTGGGTTTTCTTACACATACCTTAAGCTTATAGTCGATCTGATAGGGGAATGCGGTCTTGACTGTGTGTCTGAGAAAAGAAATTCATAGATTTTGAAAATTAATAATAGTATGTGTATTTGGATAGCAGTTATCATCCAAGGATCATAATAGCTTACAACCATTCATTGACTCTACCACCAACATGGACCTTTGTACTCTAACCACAATGCAAAGAAGCACAGAATTTGGCCCTATTCTCCCTGATGGCAGTTCCCTAAAGAAACTGCTGGTGGATAATAGATCTCACACCACCCTCCCTGAAGTCTCCAGTGTAGAAGGCAGATGATTGGGAAAGCAGAGGGAGGGCAGGGATAATGGCTTATTTTCTACTGGCAGCCAGCAACTTGGGGCCTAGGCTTATTGGTTAATCTTCTCTACTTGCATTCCTCCCCAACGCTGCCTCTGTCTGAGGGGAACTCGGACCCACGTGGACAGGGGCTGCGGCCACCCCGCATTGCTACCTCTGTATTTAAACTGGTTGCCGCTGGTTTTTAAACCGTCTCCCCTCATGGACTGGCTCTAATGGAGAGGCAGCAGCGCGGGATGCCAAGGGGCTCTCTGGGTGTGGGGCTGGAGTGCACTGGCTACTGGCCCACCTCCAGGAACTATAGAATAGTTGAGAAACTGATAAGACTTCATGTGGTTGCTGGACTATTCTATCACCTACTATCTAGCATCCCTACTGGGGGCCATTGCCAGCTGGAGCACATGACAATAGCCCTCAGGCTACTTTAATTTGTGCTAGCAGAGAATCAAGGATGTATAACTGGTTCCCTGAGCACTCTCATACTCATTCTCTCTCTGCTGCGCAAGAGAGAATCAGGCCCTTCATGGTATTAGCTACATCCAAATACAGCTTTCAGTTAACTGCTTAATCCCCTAAGTGCCTTTGAAAATCTCACCCAGTAGACAAAAATATAATCATATATATCAGCAGCACTTACCACTCTTATATCACAATACATGCCAAGCTGGACTTCATAAATAAATGTTGAGGAAGACTAGGATAGGGGATTGTGATTACTGAAGGCTGTATGGTAGAAGATAGGCTCCTCCGGAACATCACACTCAATGGAATGTTTTAACTCCACCACTAAATAGCACAGCTAGAGTTTCATACAGTGTGTCAGTCATCTTAGAACTCCAGACCTTTTTGGCCCCTTCCTTCCCCTCTTTTCCTCCCCCTCTTCATTATTCCTCCCTCTCCACTTTTCACATTCCTCTCCTTTCTTCTGCTGCCTTATGAACGACTGACTGTTGAGCAGTGGGATTGTGACATAACTGATAAGCAATAGGATTATGACATCAGAGAGACAAGTCAATCCTTGCTCCCAACATTAGAAATAAGCCACTTTTTTCCTATTGTTACAAGGGGCTTATGCTTGCCAACCCCCCTCTCTCTGGAGGCAGGGTGTCTGGCTGGGGGAAGAGGGAAGGAGTAGGCTGGGGTTGCAGGGTCTTGGTGGAGGGTGTGTGTGAGGGTGCAGGGACTCAGTGGAGGGGATGTATGAGGTGGCTGGGGGCATGAGGTCTCAGCAGGGTGGTGAATGAGGGGGTTGGGGTATGAGTGAGCAGGCTGGGGGTGCGGAATCTCAGAGGGGACAGTGAGGCGGCTGGGGGTGCATGGTCTCGGTGAAGGGGGTAAGTGAGGGGGGATGGGAGTTTGGGGTCTCGACGGGCTGGGCCAAGCCCGCGGCAGCCTCGGCTCTCCCCCTGGCCACTGGTGAGAGGAGGGCCAGTCTGGGGCCGTAGCGCGGCAGCCCCAGATCTGCATGTGGCTGCCAGTGAGGGCTGGGCTGGGAGTGAGTGAGGCTTGGTTCCAGGAGCGGGGCTGGGGCTTGCCTTTCTTTTCACCACCCATGCCTACCCCCCAGCCTGTGGGCATAGATGACATGATGACATCATTCTGTCGTCCACAGGAAAATTGTTTTTATATATAGAGATTTCTGTTTCATTCTCCTTTGGTTATTTGCATTCTACAGATCTATTTGTTGAAATGTGTGCCGTACAATCAGGAATATGAACAAAACAACATGGTAACAATGCCCATGTGTTGACCAGCATAAACTGTTTCCTAGTTTGGTCTGTCAACAGTAGTTTTGCATGCACAAATGCAAGTGCACATTTGGGCCTCCAAAGTTTCCATTGACCATTTTTCCTGTTTTTTCCCTATTTTCTTTCTTTATTAGGCTTATCTTTACTAATACCAGGTCACATCTTCATCCCTTCATTTAAAAATCTTTGGTGACTGTGGATGTATAATTATGTCCTCCCAATCCTTCATTTGGCTGGCATTCTTCAAAATGAACATTCTAGGGCTGTTCTAGAGCTTTGTGATTTGCATAGTAGGAGCCATTTGGTATAGCCATGGGTACATTTTATGGGCTTACTGAAGTTTCTCTGCTTTGGGAAACTACCAAATAGTAGACAGTTGTAAGTGACAAATTTTATAGCAGGGGTGTAGTTACCAGACACACAATTTATGCACACACCTTCACACTGTGATTGTTATTTTCTTGGCCAATGGTGACTTCAATTTTTCTGAAAGCTACATCTCTTTGCTGCTAGGAGTCAGTGAACCTTAAATGAAGATATCGTAGAGTCCAATGTATCTGTCCTATTAAGCCATAATGAACTTTGGTATATCTAAGTACATCAAGATTTTTAGAAATACTTCAGTCCTAGTATTATTTCATAAAATATGTGTTGTGTTATACATAACTCTCCTCTAGAATCCTTTCCTCTCAGAATCTCACAGTAGTACTCATCTTCTCTATTTTCATTCCCTACCTGTGTGCAGAGTAGTGTATATGTATGTATGTATGTATGTATAGACAGATAGTCAGACAGCCTATGAGAGTGCAAAAAACTTCCGAAATTCTGAATACCTACAGTGGTTGATATAATCGCTGTTAATTTGCTGAAGTACCAAATTATACAGTTGCACATATTAGGTCTTGGAAGAAAAGAGTGGGGAATAATATAAACCCATAAAATAGCAAGCTGTGCATTAAGGGTACATCTAGACTACAGGATTTTGTCGACAGAAGCTTTGTCGACAGATACTGTCGACAAAGCTTCTGTCGACAAAGAGCGTCTACACTACATCCAGTTCTGTCGACAAAGCAAGTCGCTTTGTTGACATGACAGTGTAGACGCAAAGGACAGTGTAGATGCAGTAACACCTTATGTCGACAGAACTCTGTCAACAAAAGGCATTATTCCTCGTAGAATGAGGTTTACAGCCGTCGACAAAACTGCTGAGTTCTGTTGACGTTATGTTGACAGAACTCAGTGGCAGTGTATACGCAGGTATAGTTTTGTCAACAAAAGTCCACTTTTATCGACAAAACCCTGTAGTATAGACACGCCCTAAGAGTACAGCTTTGTGTAGTAAAAAAAATAATCAATATTTAGTCATGTTATATCAAAGACCATAAAAACTGAAGGTCCATGTATTAATCCATGTCTAAGTTTAATTAGATCTAAGAAGAATTTTGTCTTCTCTCTACAGAATATGTACTAATGTCCCCACAGGGCACTTGAAATATACATACCGTGCAACCTGTATACATTCTTTTCCACAGGAATAGAGAAAGGATGCTCTTGAAATTTAACAATAAACTGAAAGCTAAGAAATCTGGAGTTTCCCCCCAGCTCTGGCACAAACTTTCTGTGTGAACTTAGGCAAATCACTTAATTACCCTTTGCCACAAAGATAATAATACTTCCCTACCTCACAGGAGTGTTGTGAGATCATGAGGGATACACACAAGCCTATAAAGTAAATAAGTTATGTTTCCTCCCAGACCAGGGACAGTTTAAAACAAGAGTGAAATTTAATTAGCATAAACCCCAACCAACTATGTCTTGCACAAGTCCCATTGCTGCTTAGTCCTTTTAGAATGCACACAACTGTGTTGCTTAAACTAGAGCGATCCCCTTTGTGCCTTTCAGCAGATCTTCAAATCTTAAAGAGATGGGGCACAAGTCAATCTAACTCTGACATTCTGAATAGTACGCTTCCCCTCTCATAAACTGAATGTTGTTGTATTAACAAAATATAACATACAGTCCATACATTTGACTCATTAGTTGTCATCCATGAGTTCCACAGTTCATAACAGTTGTCCTCATTTTTTGGGGTTTCTCTCTGTCAGAATTTTCTGATGATGGAAGCTTCTACATCACTTTTCAGTTTATTTCGGAAAGTTTCTGTGGCAATTTCAGTTCTGCTATCCAGGGCTAGGTCTACACTAGGGGATAAACTCAAATTAAGATATGCAACTCCAGCTACGCTAATTGAGTAGCTTGAGTCGAAGTAGCTCAAATCAAATTTTGGTGCCATCCACACTGTGCAAAGTCGAAAGGAACACCCTCTCCCTTTGACTTCCCTTACTCCGTGTAGGACCAAGACTCCCAGCGTTGACAGGAGCTCACTCTCAGTTTGAATGAGCATGTCTTCACTAGACCTGCTAATTTGAACTTTGGAAGATCGACTATGGCAGCTTCAATCTTCTCTGAAGTGTAGACATGGCCAAGCTCAATACGTTAAAACCCCAAAGATAATCAGTCATATCTTATGTAATAAAATGTCTTATATGAACTATAGTATGACCAGGAAACTCCAATTCACTGGGTATACAGCAAGCTATTAAGAAAATATACTAAATTCACATAATTACAAATTATCTAGGACTATGAAATACTTTATTTACCAATATTACTTCAGATTTGGACAGAGTGCAGGATAAGATACAGGAATAGGTCCTTGAAATAGCAAGGGACAAACATGAAGACAACCCACTCACCAGTCCAAAATTTGGATTTAAATATTGATCCATTGGTGTCCCTAACTATTCATATGTTATGATCTGTGAAGCTCTCCTCTCTCTAGTCGGAGGACCTCCAAAGTCAGTGGGTTGTTCTGGTGATCTGTTCTGTTCAATGCTTTTTCCACGCTGGCATCCATGTATTCTTATAGGTGGTCTGAATGCCACATCATTCTGATTAGCAGTTTTCAAGTTTCCCAGACCAACAACATCATCATTTCCTAAAGGAGGATATAATGTTGTTCTGTACCTGCAGATTTTTTTGCTTTTAAAATGTATTCCAGAAAGTCAGCAGAGTAATAGCTGTGGACTCATGTGGCTGGACAACACGATGAACATTTGTGTAGAGAAAAGAGACTCTCCAGGCTCTTAAGTCCTTACTTACTGCTGAATTACTCTAGGTGAACTGTGCATTTTTATTGCAAAAATGTATACTACTGAATTAATGCTTTACCATGTAGCAGTCTGTGTCAGAGTACTTAGAAGAAAGCTGCTATATCAAACAGAACTATAAAAATGTCCCTATAAAAGACTCAGCAGTATTTAATATGTTATTCATTGTCATGCTGTTGTGTTTTGCCTGCAGTACAACAGCCTCATAGAAGTGAGACATTATGTACAGTAAAAAGATGACAAATGTTTTCCCCACAACTCATTCAGGGTATGTCTACACTACAGAGTTAGTTCGAACTAACGGACGTTAGTTCGAACTAACTTTCATAGGCGCTACACTAGCGCTCTGCTAGTTCGAACTTAATTCGAACTAGCGGAGCGCTTAGTTCGAACTAGGAAAACCTCATTTTACAAGGATTAAGCCTAGTTCGAACTAGCTAATTCGAATTAAGGGGTGTGTAGCCCCTTAATTCGAATTAGTGGGAAGCTAGCCCTCCCCAGGTTTCCCTGGTGGCCACTCTGGCCAACACCAGGGAAACTCGTCTGCCCCCCTCCCGGCCCCGGACCCCTTAAAGGGGCACGGGCTGGCTACGGTGCCCATGCCAGGTGCAAGCCTGCCAGCACCCAGCCAGCAGACCCTGCACCTGGCACGGCACAGAGCCACCCACCCGATGTCCCCCA